TGCTATAAGGAGTTTGGTCTAGACCTGCTCTATTTGAAAAGTGCCCTGAGATAACTTCTGTTATGAATTGGCGCTATACAAATAAAATTGAATTGGATTAAATTGAATTGAATTAAGTGCTAACTACTAAATGTTAGTATGCTAACACCAAGATGGTGAGCAAGGTCAACATTACACCTGCTAAACACCAGGATGTTAGCATCATTATTCTGAGGCTGTTAGCACGCCAACATTAGCATTTAGCGCAAATACAGCCTCACAGAGCTGTCCACAGTTAGCATGGCTGTTTCTTCACTATGTGTAAATCCCTTCCCCACTTCCCCCTGAAGTTAGGGTATACGACTGAGAACCCTCCCAACTTTCTGAAACGGACAAGCCAACAATCACTTCCACATCCCACAATGATTGGCAAGGTGCGTGGAAGGAAGAGAGGAAGCAGAGTTTCAACTTATCCAAAGATGTTCCACAGGTACGCCTATATTTTGAGCATATATCATGTCTTGACCCTCTTTGTGATGTTTTTCACCCTGTGTTTGAGTGAGCCTGCGAAGAAACAATTATAAAGGCTTTTGCCTTCAGATGTGACGACACATTGTACAAACTAGTTTATTTCAAGCACTCCTCCATCTCTAAACACACAAGATATAACAAGTTAATTAGTGAGCTTTGGGGCAGTTGTATTTAACTTTGGAGAGAGATAAGCAAGCTGCTTCAGGTCTTAATGCTAAACTAGAGTAATTGCTTGCCCACTCTTAAAGGCCCCTGCACACCCCGAGTCTACCCACACAGGTCATTTCACTTTTTCTGGCTGATTAGACCACTTCTGAGGGCTGTGTGGGCGTGTACAGACGGTGTTTGATCAATATCTCCCGCACTCTACTGTGTGTGAATGATTACACCTTTATCATTCTTATTGGTCTGGTGACCCCACGTGAGCCCCATCATAACCCTGCCCAACATCAATCTGAGCGATGGTCTAATCAGCCAGAATAACTGAAAACACATGTGTTGGTGTGCTGGGACTTTAATGACATCGATGTGGTATCGATCTTCACATCAAAGAAGAGGAGAATAATTCACAAATTATCAAATTGTGTGGGATTTTTCTTTTATAGAAACCCATTCCAAACAGATAACACAGGGCTAATACAATTTAATTTGGCCAACAACATTACATTTTATTGTCAGACATGTTTTGCCTTCTTGGCCATGTCTTTGAAAATATAAATTATAAACCCAATTAGTTAGAAAAGGACAAGAAAGGAGAAGACATATCTGCACTCAACTCACAGGAAGTGACCAATCAGACTTGGTGAAATATTTTCTACATGCAAAGAGGCACTCAATCCTGGTATAAGTTGACTAACCATTGATATATTTTGCCTCTTTTGACTGTTTTGTATCATTTAGTATAAAATGTCACAGAAAAATGTTTCTGGGTACTAATCGTCTGACGTTATACTAGTTGCCAATGGTTGCTGTAAGTTAGTTTAGTTACCATTTTGCGGAAGGATGTTTGTGTTCCTGTAACACTTCTCTTAATGCTTATCTCATTCTGTGGTTTAAAGAACCTTCTCATCACATAAGGCAACAAGTCACTCTCACTTTAGATGTAAAAACAACTTGCTGTAGGATAAAGGACACTCCATGTTAGAGCTGCTCCTTATTACAGTCACATTAATTGTATGCCAACACAAAGAAAAGGTTTATAAAAGGGCCCATGGGAAGGGCACAAAGTGTGAGTGTTTCCGAGAGGTCATGGGTTAGGGGTGGCTGAAGCTGTGGCTGTTGTGTTAAACAAACCTGTGGTTATGTTAAGTCTAATGACACATTTCTAATAGATGCTGATTAAGATTAACTTTGGAGAAACCAGCGGAATCTGGTTGCTCACCTGCTCTTGCTTCAACATTTCCCTCCCATAAGAGGAAGAGAACCATTTGAGAGGTAGCTGCTTGTCAAAGCGGCCATCAGCACTGTCCATTTAAACAAAGTGCAGCCCAGGGCAGACAGACAGGCCCAGACATGAATTGTGTCTTTTACCTTGCAAATTTGGCCTGGGAGGGCGTCTTTAAGTAAAACAGGAACACTTCATTCATTCTCAGACAAATGCCAAAGCAATAAGACAAATATAAGCACTTATTACACTGTATGGCACCAAATGTTTAACATTTTGCATAAAACAAAGACATTATAAAGGAACAAATTCTCTGAATTCACAAATATTTTTGGTGTTGTTGCCCAATATCTGGATTTTTATTATCTTATTTTCTGACTTGCTGCATATGAAGACAAAGACTTTACTATGTTTTTTTATATTGAGATTTAAATTATACATAATAACACTTTCTATATGGCAAAATGGCAATAACAACTACTGCAGGAGATATGAGGGGTCAGCAGCTATGGAAAACTGAATAAGGCATTCCTTTTTTAAACTTGGGATTCATTCCCATCTAGTGGTAACCATGGGTACTGCAGGTTGCACGTTCATCCCATCTCCTCTCAAACTACAGAAGTGCTGTGTGTCAGTTGTGCATACACTTTACGTCACAGACACGTCAGTATTTTCCGTCCAAACTGATCGAAATACATTTGTACAAGTTGTTGTTCAGTCCCTGTATGAGTCATTCTGCTCTGCAACATTTCACATTAGCCTCTTATGAAATTACCAACTGCGCACACAATAAATTCACAAACTTGCTTGACATATAGTAAATATCTAATTCTTTTACTTCATATTTGTATTAGGCTTACAAATCAATGTCTGTAGTAGCGCAAAACACATTTTCTATTCTGGCTTAAAATGTCTATATATGCGATGCCTATCTATCTCACAGTATTGCCAAGTAGCGAGCTGTCACAAACTGTACTTCCTTTTATTCTGTTTAACTGATCTTAAGAAAGAGGAAGGAAAAGAGTGCACAATGATCCCACAACACATTTTTAAATTCACAACTTGATTTGCTACAACTCAAACAAATATCCTGCTCTGTTTCTCTGAGCTCCATCGATAGAACGACACAATATGTTCTTACCTTTGGGCTCGTCCTGTACTTCAGGTTTTTCCTCTGGTCCTTGTGGCTCTTTTGTAGTAGTTTCTGCACTTTCAAAGGTTTGCAGACCTAAAAAGTGTACGTGGATCAGGATTATAGTATTTCTGACTGCAACCACAGAACAGCACAATCGTTTTGGATTTGTATGGTTATTTTATTTTGTCACATCTTCTCTGTAACATTGCTGCTGATGTAAGTGGGTGTGTCGGACTGACCATTCACAGGAGCATTATCAACAGGCATCTCAGGCTCCACAGTGCTGAGAGGGATGTTGGCTTCATCCGGTCTGGAAGTAAAGTCGACAGAGTAGCGCTGTGGGAAGAGGAGATTCAGACACACACATAATGTCACAACATTAGGGGAATGGTTCGACATTTGGACCACATTCATGTCTGTACACTAAATATGAAGGTACTGCCATGCAGCTGGTTAGCTTAGCTTAGCATAAAGACTGGAAATAGGTGGAAACAGCTAGCCTGGCTTTGTCCAAAGGTGAAAACATCTGTGTACTTTAAAGCTCACTGATTAACCCTCTACGTGTTAATAGGCTATAGGTTTACTGTTCCAGTTTTTATGCTATGCTGACAGGCTGATGGGTATAGCTTCATATATAAAACAGGCACAAGAATAGTATCAATCTTGTAATTTCAACTCACGGAAAGAAAGCAAATAAGCATATTTCGCAAAACCTATTGCTTGTTTGGTTAATGGAAGCAAAGGGCTACTCTACTTACCCTTCCTCTCCTCCGTGCCAAGAAGCAGGCAATACCAAATCCAAAAGCTACGAGCACGATCACAACTAGGATGATAATGCCTGGAGGAGGTAATGCAGTTCATGTTTATGAAGATATTTGCTCACATTGTGGTTATGCAGTCTGCCTCCAGACAAAGACAGAAATCTATATCTATATCTTTTGTCATCATGTGCACATTTAAATGTAACTCACCAGTGCTGTCGCCTGATGTTGCCAACGGACGCTTAACAGTGGTGGCTGTAAGAAAAGTTTAAGTAAGAAAAGAAAATGTTTAGATTTTAAAGGAGGAAAAAGCTGTCATCAAACAATGAATATGAAGTTGGGATGCCAGTATAAACGTGCTAATGAGCTGTCAGTGTCATAAAGGAAAGGTGCTTCCAGGCTCCCATTATCAAATACATACTCAAATGGTTTAAAGCTGCATTAACAGATTATTTTGGCAGCTAGGGGGCAGCAAAACAAGCTGAAAACAGTGACATTATCACCTGAAATCAAGGCTGAAATGGCTAACATGTTAGCAAACAGTTGACCATTTACACTTTCAACAGACACAGAGCAACATCTGCATTCATTTGGAGTCCGCTGGATGAAGTCCACTGCAATTTACTCCAATTCTCTGTAAGTCACACCTTTCATAGTAGGTAGTCCTTCGATCCGTTGTTTATTATCATATATATTGGTATATAAAAATACTGATTACTGCAGGTTTAAAGTATTATCAATAATATTCATGACTAGAGACCAATTTAACAAGCTGGTGTGTACAGCAACTAACTATGCTCATGTTTAATTTATACAGTACCAATTCCAGGCTATGCAGCTGTCTGTACTTACCAAGCAGTATCACAGTGTTTGCTAATGTAAATCCTCAAGCTAATAAGGGAACATCAAATAGTAGAATATTGTTTATCAGGATCATCAACTCACTTTTGTCCTTTTTTTTAGTGGTTGTCTTAGAAGTACTAGCCGAGAGCATTTTGGGCGTTGTATTTTTGGAGGTTTGGCCATCTTTAGAACCTCCATCATCTGAATCAGAGAAGCATTTTATTCCACAAGCAAATAATAATAAAGAGAGTAACAATCAGAAAAGAAATGGACTGAACATAAACTACAGACATGTTTTTTGGAAATCAACATGGGTACAGCCATAAGCCAATACATAGTTCAGATAATAGCTGTCACCTGTCGGCTTTATTGTTGAAGGTGGGATGGTGCTGCTGGTGTTGGTGATGTTCATGGCACTGCTGGTAGTGGGCATACTCGTGCTGGCACCGGTGGTGGTGTTGGTGCTGTTGGTCATGAAGGTTGTTGCATTATTAAGAATATTGTCCTCAGGAGAGGATGTGTTGCTAAAGCCCTCTGGAGCTGTGAAATACCCATTGAATGTTGATGTCTCTTGTGCTGTGACAGAAGCCACCACCAAACCTGCGGGAAAAAAACAGCCTTTTCAAAATGATCCAATAGGTGAACACAAAAATGACCAAAGTTTAAGCTGAGAAACCTTTTTTCATCATCAAGTTCAGATTCAACAAAGGCCTGTTTTGTGTTTTCATTTTTCTTTGTGTCTGTGTATATAAACAATAAAGAATTGATCACAAACGATACATTTAACCTTAATTCATTTTCTGATCTGTGACTCAACCACGCACTGCATCCTCAAACTACACGATTTACAGCAGCTCTGTTAACTGTAAACCTCGAAGGGAACCAGCTGTACGTAAGAACCGTATGTAAGGTGTGACCATGTTTGGCTCTCTGATTATGATATTATGAAATTAAGCATTTATATTGAATTTTCATTGTTTTTTACCATCAACAATCAATTACCTGAACCCATACAGAACAACATCAAAACGAGACAAGACTAACACTTAGGTTAGTCATAAAATGAATGATGAACACAGTATCATCTGGTGCATGTCCATAAAACACATAAACACATAAAGAGCCTCACCCAGGATAAAGAAGGAGGGGCCGATCGAGGTCATTGTAAGTTTGTTTGATGGCAGCAGCAGGTGGGAAAAGCTACAATGTCCAGATATATTGTCGAAGCTCTCGGAGGTGATGCTTTCAAACGCTGCTTTTCTTCCTGTATGCCTCTGAGCATTGCATGCTTAAAAAGTAACCAAAAAAAAGAGGATCAACGCCCCTGACCACAGCAGTATGCATCATACAACAGTGTTGCTTAAACAGTGGGAGGAAACATCATGCTGGTACATTGCATCAAATTCTCACTACAGAACAATAAGAGGTAGCAGGTGTGTATTGTTACTGTCAAAATGCTTCTAGTCATTGATTTTGCAAACATAGCATATTTGTGTGCGCACCTGTGAGGGACACAAATATTGTTCATCATAATTACCAATTGTATGTCTTGTTCTTGAGAAACTGATGCTGTTGCAAAATAGGGATACTATGTGCAATTTTACCATTATTGTCAGTACTATTTTCTGCTCACTAGATGTCGCTGTGACTATGGGGAAAGACGCCAGATGGGGATAAGACAGTTGCCCTGTTCTCTTGCTGAAGGTATAGACTAACTTTAACTTTACCTTTATGTATTTCTTGTCTGATATAGTGTAAAAGAAATGAGGTAAATATAGGAATCATGATTTCAGGTTTTATTGCAGTTTTTTTAAACGATAAAGATCAATAATAATATTGTTGAGGCAAAAGAGGACAGCAGGGTATGTGTTGTGGTGGTTGAGGAAAATATTGTTGATGTTGAATGTTGTAGTTGATCCACAGAAAATGAATCACCAACTGTTTTGACTGTCATTTATAAGTCAAATATTACAAACCTCCACTGGTTTTAGCTTCTGTTCTTTGTCACAATATTTTGCGATTTTGGACGGTGAGAGACATTTGAATACATCTCATGGGGCTATGGGCAAGTATTCATCACTATTTTTGGGGGGATTTTATAGACTAAACAATTAAATGATTAATCGAGAGAATTATCAGCAAATTAATCCATAATGAAGATACGTGTTAGTTGCTGTAAACGTCTGTGTGCGGTCAAGCGTGTCAGCATTACTTGTCTTCGTGTGGGTGGAGTTGTCGTAAGGGTGTATGTGTGCTCAGCCTTGTAGGTTCATTTATTACTGTTTATTTCCCCATGCCAGTGGTAATCAGCAGCAGGATTAGTGTTAACTGCCACCCAGTCACTGGCAGGCTCCACGTGGGCCACCGCAGGCCCCTCCTGCCGACTGGCCTGACCGGGTCTGTCCGGGGCCCGCTCGCAGTGACAAGGAACTGGGAGTCCGCTAATCCTGAAGAAAGACCCCTGCCTAGCTTCCTTTCTGGGCCACCTATCACCACACCACAGAGCCCAGACACCAGCACCAGGCCTGGCCCGGTGGATGAGCTAATCACTGAGAGGCGAGGAGAGGAAAGAGGAGAGGAGAAGGAGAGGAGAGGAGAAAGTGTGTTTCTGTGTGTATGTGTGTGTGTGTGAGAGAGACACAGAGAGAGGAGAGAGCTGGACCACCCACCCGGAGGATTCAGAGGCACAGGATTCACAGCCCATTCTGTTGACCTGCCACACCGCCCCAGCTCTGGGCAAGGCCCTCCCCAATTGTTCCGCCTGCTAACATGAGGGGGGTTAGACAAGGGGGGATGGGGGGGTGGACGAGCAGTAAACAGTGGGCTGAGCTTCTCTCCTTCAGCGCACAAAGGGGCTGAATTGTGTCGGGACTGGAGCACTTTTTAGAGTGGCCCTGCCATGGGGCCTGAATGAAACATCTGTGGAGGCTGAGCCCGAGGGAGAAAATGCTATTTTGCTGTTCAACCACACTGACAACCTGTTTTCTCTTTCTTTACCCCTACACCCCCCATCCCACACACCACCACCACCACCACCACCTCCCCTCACTGTTATTTCTCCCTTGGCCTTGTAAAACTATTCATACTGTATACTCACATTTGCCAAGCAAGCAACAGAGAAGCAACAGTAAATGAGAGAGAGGGAGATGACTTTGAAAGTTTGAATGAGGATACAGTGAACTGGAAATTGTATTTTTACATATCTGCACATGACTTTTTTATTTTTATTCAATTGAATTAAATTGAGTTTATTTCATTGGGATAATCCAATCAGTATCAACGCTACTCTCCAAACAGACAATACAAAAAGTACAACATATCAAACACATAAGGAACAACTTATTCCAGTTATGTATAAGTCGAAGCTTATAATGAAAATGAGTCCTGATGAGCTATGTACAAAAATCTTTAAAGGGGATATCAGCAAGTGGGGTAACATTTTGCATTAAGACAGGGATAAAGTGACACATATGATGATATGACAAAATATATTATTTTCCCTTCCAGGATCTGTTCCAGTTCCAGTTTATCACATCTTGGGTTTTATGTTTCTAGTTTTGGACATCACTTCTACTCATTGTGAAAATACTGTACTCAGTGTCAGACAGGGTAAGAAACAAGCAGTTAAACCACATTATTTGGAGGTCAAATCTAAAGTGAGTGTACCCAAAATGTTGGTAATAATTCAGGTATGGCGGGTATGGGAGGTCAAAGTTGAACCAGAAAGTATGTCTGTAAAACTTGATGGATGTTTGTAATGGACAGTTTCATTTTACATATTACCTTCTTTGTTTTTTGAGTGTAACCTGAGCATTTGTTCAAAAACCATATGGTAATCCGACTGCTTGTTTTTCTTGTGTCCCATCAAAATGTCAGTAACGTAATCTCGCCACATTTCGAGATCTCCGCAATTCACTTGGTGAGTACAATGTTACTATTTACCAGTAGCAAGGCATTTACATCAAGGAATTTACATCAAGGAACTGACCATTTATAGCAAACTTATATAGTAATATGTGAAGGAAAAGGTTCTTCTCTTTGGTTGAGCTCTTAAAGAATCCCAATAACCATGAGGATGGATAACTAATCCCTCTTAACAAACATATGGTGGAAGGAGTTGACTTTGTTGGCATGCACAAATTAGCAGAGTAACAGTGATAAGTGGCAGCGTAACAATGCCTACACTGGTACACCATGCATAAATAAGATTGTACTAATGATATTGAGGATTATTTGAAACAGTCGATGCCACTCAGCCAGTGCCTTAACTAATGAACTAATGCTTGTTATATTTATAACAAAAACTATGAAAAAATAAGTTGTGAAACTATTCTTTAATGCAAATACAGTAGGGTATGGAGGCTTTCTGTCAGCTTCTACAGAGAGTCGATTTATCTATCAACCTCACCTCTATAAACCCCCCACTCCTCCTCAGCCCTCTTTCCCCACAGTCCTGCTCCACCATATGCAGCTCAAAGAGAGAGACCACTGAGACATTTCAGTTTAATTGAAGGGGAAACAAAGATCCCTTGCTTACTTCCTGGTCACCCATTTTCTTTGATCAATTTCCTCCCTTTGGCCTTATATCATCTGTAATTACTTTCCTTTTCCCACCCCTCGTGGGTTCCTCCTGGAGCAAAAGTCCGCACACACACACACACACTTATTGCTAACCCCCTACCGTAAGCAGGCAATACCTTCGGCCTCAATACTCATTGCCCCCCTTTAGCTCCTCCAGCCTGAACAATAGAGAAGGCCCACAGGCTCCAGAACCCCACCAAGCCACCCCTGACCCTGCCCACCTACTCTACTAAACCCCTACACACACACACACACCCACCACACACACACACAGGTTCATGTGGTATGTACTTTTATATTCAAGTCGTAGGCATTGTCACACATGCACACACAGCTCACACGAGTCTGCATTGAATGGGGGGAAGGAGAAGAAGAGGAGGAGAGGCAGGGTAGTGGTGGTGGGGGGAGCAGGGCCACTTTAAATACCAGCTCAGCTTGTAATCACTGGAGTTTGAACTCAGAAGACTTCTTATGCTAAGAGGTCAAGAAGCCAGAACACTCATTCGCTCCTTTCTTTCTTCCCTGCTGCCCTCTGTCACTCACTTCTCTCAATGGGTCTCTCTGATCCATAAGCTGGTTGCGTACAGTGAAACCAGCGCTGATATCCTGAGAAAATCTTCCAGCAAAACAATGAGTGCGTTGTCTTCAGAGTTTTCTACAAGAGCACATAAGTAAGACAAATTCATCGTGGCACAAGCTTGACTTCCTCCTGTGCTCAAGTAAGTCAGGTGAATTGTCTGCCAAATGGTAATTTTCTGGAAGAACTGAGCTTTATTTGCAAATAATTCCCAAGGAAATTCATTAAAATTAACCTGCCTGCCAAAGAGAATATGAAAACAATGCTTTTAAATATTTTGTGTTGAACCCGCTGCTTACTTCAGGAAATTTTGTGTACATCTGGTATAGGCTGGATAAAAATGCCCTCCAAATTATACACCTTTATTGGACTTCACATTTCCCAAATATGACCACCCAGAGGATGCATACCACCCACGCACTATTGAGTGGATTTATCACTCAGCTGATGCCAGTGTGCTTGATGAATGAAAGCGGCCTACAGTATTGGCATTGTTACCTTGTTTGATGGGGAAGCGAAACATAAGAAACACTATATAAATAGGTATTAGCCATGGGAATAGGAGAGGAAAGGTGTTGCCTGCAGGCAACAATCACAATGTAAATGCCAAGAAAAGTGCTGGTGCAATATTGTAAAAAAAATAAAGAGCTGAAGAGGAAATGTTTGTGTGTGGTAAAGAAAGGTCTAAAATTGGCTTCCAGTTAGTCAGCAGTGCAGTGGGATACAGATAGGAGGTAAACAGCCGTGTCAGCCAGAGGATACAGAGATTGCTGTAACTAATGATTATTTTTACTGCCACTTAATCTTTTGATTATTTCTTTGCTTAATTTCTTAATTATTTAGTTTAACGTTTAATGTAACAACATACAGAAAAAAGCACATCACAAACTGCCAAATGTCTTGTTTTGTCCAATCAGTTCAGTGCAAGAGGAAGATATTCAATTTACTATGATTTAAAACAGAGAAAAGCATCAATTTATCACATTTGAGAAGCAGTCATGTTTATTTTTTGTCAGTCAACGGATTACTCAACCAGTTGTTTCAGTGCTTTTCGATTATGTGATTTGATTTGAAGAAATCCTGTTAGTGCTCAGAATA